GAGACGACTGGCGATCAGGGGCCCGGATTCTTCCTCGCTGATTGGTGTGGGCCCCCGCCGTGGATGAAGGCGCTCGAGAAACTGCTTGAGCGCGTAGTCTGGTAGGCCCGGCTTCCAGCCGGGCGGTTCCAGCCGGGCGGCGCATGCCCGGTGAACCCTGGCAGCGCGGTCGGGGGCTTCCCGCGTCCAGCAGCCATCGCCCCGACCTCCCGGTAGAGGGAAAGGGCGTCGCCGACGCCTGGGAAGAGCTGGCTGATGTACAGAAAATTGAGGATACATATTGTGCTGAACGTCTTGGTGGTCAGCAGGGGCCGCTTGTTCGCCCCGTCGCGCTTGCTGCGCGACGAAGCGGCGCGCCTGGCTGCGCGCGGGCGCTGCTGTTGCGGCGCCGACTGCCCGTGGGATGGGGGGGCAGGCTGGAGTCTGGAGCTGATCTCCAGGTCCGCTCCCGAACTGATATTTAGTCGATTCGCGAGACCCTGGGCCCTGATGCGTGCGGGCACAGGTGCAACGCTTGATCAAACCTCTTGTCTGAATAACATGCTGTTATTGCCTTAACATCTGCGCGTAATCTCAGTTGCTGGAGGGGGGGGGGGGGGGGGGGGGCAGAAGGGGGGGCGCAGCCGGGGGGGGATTTTCCGAGGGGGGTGGGGGGGGCGGGTTGCGGAGGAAGAGGGCGGGGATTTTCCACGGTGGAGCGGCGGTGGCTCACGCTCTCTCCCAAGTCAGGTTCGCCCGCCCGAGCGAGTGGAGGTCGCTGGGCCGGCCGCGGGGGGGGGGTTGGGCAGGTGTTGTGGGTTGGCCCAAGAAAAGGATTGCGGCCCGCTCGCCCAGCGCGCGCGCGCCCTCCCGGGTGCCTTCCCCCGGCTGGCCGGCCCTCTCATATCTTGTTGCTAGCCTGAGCTTAACGGACGCCATTCATATTCGATTGCCCATGGCATGTAGGGATGCATCGCCTACATCGAAGATAGGACTGAGCTGATATCAATCACCGGGCGATCATAATCACATTTCGCTTATCAGCATGGCCACCAAAGAGCTTATAACATCAATTAATTGGCAACCTACCATGGCGATGGCGACGGCGATGTCGATGGCGATGGGGAGGGGGGGGGGGGGGGCGGAGAAGGTGGATGGGGGGGCCGAGGCGGAGCTCGTTAGGGTGGACGAGGGGGGGGGGGGGGGCGGTGGAAGAGGAAAGTAGGATATCGAGGATCGTGATATTTGATGATGTTGATGTTGATGTTGATGATAATTGCGATGCTGATGCTGCTGATGTTGATGATCACCATCATCATGTTGATAGTGATTGTTATGCTGATTGTCTTGCTGCTAATGGTGGTGTTGTTGATGACGATGATGAAAGTGGTGATCATGATGACGATGATGATGATGCTGGTGATGTTGCTGATTATGTTGGTGGTGATGACGGTGTCGATGCGGATGATATTGCTGTCGCTGACTGTGACGGTGGTGATCTTGATGTCACCGGTGTCGTTGACGATTGTGACCTTGGTGATGACGATAATGGCGGCGACGATGCCGATGACGCTGACGATGGCGATGACGATGATACGAATGATGGTGACGAGAATGCTGATTTTGGTGGGTGTTGACAATGACGATTCTGATGGCGATGCATATGTAGATTATGATGATGATGATGATGATGATGCTGATGATGATGATGATGATGTTGGTGATGAGGATGATGCTGCTGACGGGTACGACGACGATGATGATGACCATCGTGGTGATGTTGTTGATGCTGATGATGATGATGTTTCTGTTGGTGATGATGATGCTAATGCCGATTATGGTTGTGCGGGGGATGATGATGATGATGATGGCAATACTGATGCTGCTGCTGATGGTGCTGGTGATGATGGTGTTGATACCGATGCTCGCGATAACGATGCTGATGGCCATGATGATGACGATAATGCTGTTGATGGTGATGGTGAATATGGGAATGCTAATGCTGATTATGCTTATGATTGTGATGTTGCGGACGATTTTGGTGATGATGCAATTGTTGATGATGCTGGTGTTGCTGCCAGTGATAACGATGAATAGGATGATTATGATGATGCTGATGATGATGGCTGCTGCTTGATAGCGGTGGTGATGTTGAGGAGGGAGGGAGGTGGACAGTTGAGAAGGGATGATGCGCCACTATGTTGCGATATTGTAGTGGCATCCGGCCAATGCCGCCGATCCGGGGCGTTCCAAATGATGATGCTGATGATGATGTTGGTGATGTTCATGATGATGATGATGATGATGGTGGTGGTGGTGATGATGATGATCATGATGATGATGCTGATGATCATGATGCTGATTATGATGATGCTGCGAATGATAATGACGATGCTGATGATGGTGATGATGATGATGGCGATGATGTTTCTGCTGCTGCTGACGATGATGATGATGATGATGATGATGATGATGCTGATGTTGATGCTGATGCTGATGATGATGATGATGATGATGCTGATGATGATGATGATGATGATGATGATGATGATGATGATGATGATGATGATGATGATGATGATGATGATGATGATGATGATGATGATGATGATGATGATGATGATGATGAGATGAGGAGGAGGAGGAGGAGGAGGGAGGAGGAGGAGGAGGATGATGATGATGATGATGATGATGATGATGATGATGATGATGTGACGATGGTGATGGTGATGGTGATGGTGATGGAGACGATGATGATCCCAACCTCCCTTCACCCTTTCTCCTCTCTCCTGTCCCCCCCCTCTCTCCTGTCCCCTCGCCCCCCCCTCTGTCCTTTTCCCCTCCCTCCCTCCCTCTCTCTAGTCCCCCCCCCCTCTCTCCTGTCCCCCCCCCGCTCTCCCCCCCCCTGTCTCTCCTGTTCCCCCCCTCTCTCCTGTCCACCCCTCCCCCTCTCTCCTGTGTTACTCTCCCTCTTCCCCTGATGACGGTTTGAAAGTGTCCGACCCCCCCCCGCGTATTGTTTTTTTACACAGGTTTCCCCGGAGTTGGGTTTTCGCTTGCATTTTGTTCAAAATGCTGCTCTCGCTGAGGCGCCGGCCTCATTTTCGGGCCCCGCTCGTTCCGAATCGTGCTCCCGCTGCAGTGCTGGCCTCATTTCCGTGCTTCCGCTCGTTCCGAATCGTGCTCCCGCTGCAGCGCTGGCCTCGTTTCCGCGCTTCCGCTCGTTTCGACTCGTGCTCCCGCTGTAGCGCTGGCGTCATTTCCCGTGCCATGCCACGGCATGCAATGCAATGCTAGGTTGATACTACGCTTTGCGGCGCTCTTCTACGCCATGCCATGCCGTGCTCTACAATGCATCGCGTACCCTTTCGGGATCATTGCCCTGCTCGACATCCGACTGTGCGAGTAGAGAGGGGATCTGCGCCATGGTAAGGGATGGGAGGGAGGGGTAGGATGTCAGATATGACGCGAGCGCACCTAGCTTGCCCCCCCCTCTCCTTCCCCCCCCTCCTCTCTCCTGTCCCCCCCCTCTCTCCTGTCCCCCCCCCCTCTCCCTCTCCCCCTCTTTCTCTTGTCCCCCCCACCCCTCTCTCCTGCCCCCGTCCCCCTTTCCTGTCCCCCCCCCTTCTCTTCTTTCCCCCTCCCCCCCTCTCTCCTGTCAACCTCTCTCCTCTGTCCTGTCCACCCCTCCCCCCTCTTCCCCCTCCCCTCTCTCCTTTCCCCCCCCTTCTCTCCTTTCCCCCCCCCTCTCTCTCCTGTCCCCCCCTCCCCCCCCTCTGTCCTGTACCCGCCCCCCGCTCCCCCCATCTCTCCTGCCCCCCCCCCCTCTCTCCTGGGAGCTGGCAGGGTGGGGGGAGGTGCCGTGCACATAATTCGTCAGGTAATTCCGTCCCCCCCCTCCCTCCCTGGCAGGTTGGGGGGAGGTGCACATAATTCGTCAGGTAATCACGTCCCCCCCCTCCCTCCCTCCCTCCCTCCCTCCCAAGCAGAGCTAAAGCTCATGCTGAAGCAAAGCTTCAGCGTAGACTTCTTCAAACGCCGGATCGGCGGATTTTTCCATCGGTCCTTGAGTTCTCCAAGGGTTTCCGATAATTTCGGGGTGCCGAGAATGGAAAGGATCGGGTGCTGAGGCTGAGGAGGATCCAGTTCAGATTATGTGTTCAGTTCCTGTTTGTACTCCTAGAGGTATCTTAAGAGGTATCCAGAGTGCGCGCGTGCGAGAGAGTAAGCAGCACGTGCACTGGGGGGCATCCTGCATAACGAGGGACTGAAGAGGAAGAGGTGGAGGAGGAGGTGGAGGAGGAAGAGGAGGAGGAGGAGGAGGAGGAGGAAGAGGAGGAGGAGGAGGAGGAGGAGGAGATGGAAGAAGGACAAGGACGAAGAGGAGCAGGAGGAATAGACGGAGGAGGGGAAAGGAGGAGGATGAGGAGGAGAAAGAGGAGGAGGAGGCGGAGGCGGAGGCGGAGGGGGAGGGGGAGGGGGAGTAGACAGTCTTGACAAGGATGGGATACGAGGAGATGGGGACTCCAGTATGCCTGGGTGCCAGGACGGGGATGCAGCAGCAGGAGGAGGAGGAGGAGGAGGAGGAGGAGGAGGAGGAATGACCCTGGGCCCTCGGGGAGGCTCCCAGAGGCCACCATAGCGGGCCGCCAGTGGAGCCCCGGAGGCCGCCAGGGCGCCTTTGGAGGCCAATCGGGGGCCCATGGGGGCTGCCACGGGGGCTCGCGGGAGGCCCCAGGGAGGTTTCTGGGGTGGAGCCCCTGCGGGCCTCACCCCCGCCGGCGCCGTCGTTTCGTTTCGTCCTCGCCGCTGCCGCCGTCGTTTCGCTTCGTTGCCGCCGCCGCTGCTGACGCAGCCTCGCGCTGCAGGTCCGCCGCCTGCGCCGTCGGTCAGCGCCGTCGTAGGCGCCTTCGCCGCCGTCGCCGTTACCGTCCATTGCAGCCGCCGCCGCCGCCGCCGTCGTCCGCGGTCGTCGCCGCCTTCGATCCGCGGCTCTGCCTTCTTGGGCTCGGCGGCCGCAGGGCGGGCGCGCCCGACGAGCAGCTGCGGAGCGAGCTGCGGGAGGCCGTCGACGAGCACCGGCTCGCCCTGCGGGAGGCGGCGGCGGCGGCGGCGGAGCAGGGGGAGGGTGCAGAGGATACAGGGGAAGAAGGAGGGGGAGGAAGGAGAGATGAGGAAGGAGGGAGGAGGGAGGGGGCCCCGAGGAGGGAGGATGGAGGAGGAGGAGCAGGAAGATGTGGAGGAGGAGGTGGAGAAAGAAGAGGAGTCGGAACAGGTGGGAAGGGAAGAGGATGATGATGATGATGATGATGATGATGATGATGATGAGGATGAGGATGATGAGGATGATGATGATGATGCTGATGATGATGATGATGACGATGACGATGTTGATGCTGCTGCTCATGATGATGATGATGATGATGATGATGATGATGATGATGATGTTGATGATGATGATGATGATGATGATGATGATGCTGATGATGATGCTGATGATGCTGATGATGCTGATGATGGTTTTGATGATGCTGATGCTGGTGATGATGATGCTGATGATGATGATGATGATGATCATGATGATGCTGCCTCTGGTGATGAGGATGATGACTATGACGATGGTGATTATGATGATGATGATGATGATGAGGATGAGGATGAGGATGAGGATGATGATGATGATGATGATGATGATGATGATGATGACGATGGTGATGATGACGATGTTGATGCTGCTGATGATGATGATTGTGATGATGATGGTGATTTTGCTGATGATGCTGCTGATGATGATGATGATGTTGATGCTGATGCTGAGGATGATGTTGATGTGATGATGATGATGATGATTGTGGTGGTGGTGATGATGACGATGACTATCAGGGTAACTACGGACGCTATGATCACGACGATGCCGATGTTGAGGTTAATCATGCTGTTGGTTACGATGAGGCTGCGTCAGACGATGATGGTCTGATGTGGGCGGGTGATGCTGATGATGCTGATGATGCTGATGATGCTGATGATGCTGATGATGCTGATGACGATGACGATGACGATGACGGTGATGATGATGATGATGATGATGATGATGATGATGATGATGATGATGATGATGATGATGATGATGGTGATGGTGATGATGGTGATGATACTGATACTGTTTATATTGTTGCTGCTCATGATGATGACGATGATGGTGATGAATGTGCTCTCTGGCTTACGATTTTGCACAGGAGCATGGCGGGAACCGTTTGAGGGAGCTCGACGGTTTCTTCCGTAGCCGTTTGGGCTCGAGAGCCCAAAACGGCTGTGGCGGCGCGCCCCCCCCATCCCGCGCTCGCGCGCGCGCGCCTGGCCATGCCGCCTGGTGGTGGGGGGCCTGCGGCGCGCGCGACGCGCGCCGCCAGGCTAGGCCCCGAATTCCAGGGATCCGCCTTGCGGGGCGTTGGTCGCGTGCGGGCAAGGGGCGGTGGAGGCGCCCACCCGCCCGCGGGGCGACGCGTGCCCGCTCGCGGGGCGGGCATGTTCAAGAAGGGCCGTCCCGCGCCCGCCTCGTCGCCAGGGTCAGGTTGAGCGCTCAAGCGGCCATCGGCGGCCAGTGACGAGGGTGGCGAAGTGAAACCCAAGAGGAAATGACACAGCAGCGGGAAGAACAACCCCGAAGGAAATGTTCCCGCGCTCGTCGACGAGGAACCGCCGCCCCGTCCCAAGCCTCTGTGCAAGGCCGCTGCTCAAGCCAGGGCGGGAGCGACCCCAAGGTGAAGCGCCCCGAACCTTGGAAGACGAGACCAGGACGACTGGTGCATTTCGCTCACGGCCGTGCGGGGCGGCGAGGCGCTCGAGTACAAGGGTGAGTGCCGCGGGGCTGCCAAGCACTTCGCCATGTTTGCCAGGGGCGGGTCGTTCACCGTCAACGGCATGAACGGCTGCTTCTTGGAGGGCGAATTCATGTGCGTGGTAGAGGGATCGGGCGTAGCAGCGCTGTCGTCGCTGCTTCGTGGCCCTGGTGGTTACGGACTCGTGCACTTCTGCGAGGGCGCGGTAGGCTCCAGATCAGGGCAGAGTGGCCCACGTGGACTCGTACCGTTTGCGCCCCTACCTCGACGCTCCTCGCCCGTCAGCTTCCCACGGAGGGCCCCCCCGACCCCGGCTGCAATTGAACGGGGCGACGCCCCGAAGGGTGACCCTGCAGGCGTTGCAGCTTTCGACGGGGGCGACGACGCCCTCGACGCCGCCGAGGGCAGCAACGCAGCAGCATCGCACAGGCCAGACCTAGAGAAACGCGTCGCGGAGCTGCGGGCGAAGCTCAAGCCTGACGGCCCAGCGAGTCAGAAGGAGCCCCGCGGCGCTGCCTCGGCGACGGGTGTCGGTGAGGTCCTGGCAGGGCGAGCGTTGCAGCGCTCAGCCAAAGTCGTGGCCAACCCGCCAGGGGGGGGCCGTCGTCCGAGGCCCTGGCCGAGGCTGACTGCCGCCTCTGGCGGTGGGCGAGGCCGAGGAGATTTGAGAGCGAGGGGTCGGGTTTTCGCCGCGCTCCCAGCGTCGGTGTCCTTCGCGAGCCGCCATCCGGGGAAGCTCCTGCAGTTGGCGATCGTGGGGATCGAGCGCAATCTGAGCGCCCGGGGGGCGTCCGTGGCAGCGGGGTCGATCTCGCAGGAAGCCCGATTCGTGACGTATCTCACGAGTGCGACTCGCGCAGTCCATCCCCCCGATCAGTTGGGGTAGCTTGGGGAGGAGGTGAGGGCCCTCGTCGAGGTGCTCGATGCCGCGCTCCTCGGCGACCTCCCGCGGGTCGAAGACCTGCGCGTGCAGCGGCTCGAGGGCTGCGAGGTCGAGGCCGAGGGGTTGGGCCGGGCGCTGGCGTCGCAGTGCGAGCTGGCCCCCGCGCGGTCGATCGGTCTCGCGGCCCCGTCGAAGGAGATGCTCGTCGGACGGCTGGGGCTGCAGAGGGGGCGCGCCGAAATATGCGCGGTGGGCGTTTGCGAATGCAGCCGGCGTCGCCGTCGGAGGCGTTCCTCGCGCGGCCGCGAAGCGCGCGGTGGGGCTCGCTACCGGTCGCTGCGGTGGGCGCGCGCGCGCTCGGCCGCTGGGGCCGCCAGTGCTGCGGCGCCTCCAGCCCCATCATTGCGCTTCCATCGTTCCCGCTCTCCTTCTTCGTCCTTCCCCCCATCCTCTATCCTGCTCTTCCCTTCGCCCCCCCCCCCCCCCCCGGCCCCCCCCCCCCCTTCCCATCCCCCCCCCGCCCTCCTTCGGTGTTATTTATCGCGCTGTCCTTTCCTTCTCCCCGCCCCTGTTCGTTGATCGCCCCCTGGCATCTCCCCCCCCGCATCCCTTCCCGTCCATCGACCCTCTGCCCCTCCTCCCCCCCCCGTCTCCCCGCCTCGCGCTCCCCCCCCCCCTTCCTTCTTGCTTCGCCATCGTCGTTTGCCATCTCCTTCCCGTCTACCTCGTTCTCAGTCCTGCTTCTTCCCCTCTTGCTTCCGCCGCGCGATTCCCCCCGGTTCTCTTTGTTTCTCGGTCAGGGGCGACGCTGGCGGCCGCGCTGCCGCGGGCGCGCGCGGCGATGGCAGCGGCGGCGCGGGCGGCGCCGAATCTGCTTCCGTTTTGCCCGCGCCTTCGTTTTCCACGCTCCCCGCCTGCTGCCCGGCCTTCCGCCGTCGGTTGCCAGCGCGGTTCAAACCGTGCCGCCCAGCGCCCGCGAGCGCAAGCGGCGCCGCCGGCGCGACGGCGCGCCGCTCGACGGGCTCCGGACAGAGGGCCGCGCGAGGCGCGCCCCCAGTGCAGCGCAGGGCGGCGCGACGGGCGCAGCGGATATCCATCGCTGAGCGCCGTGGCGGGCGCCGGCGACGCGGCGCCGATCAGCTGGCCTCGACTAGCTCCCATCGGCGTGATCTAAGCGAGCGGCGCCCGGCGCGGCCGCGCAGAAGTGGGCGGCCCGTCGGGCGCCGCGACCGCGACGCAAGGCAGCGCGACGGGCGCGAACGGCCCAGCGCCGAGCAGCGCGACCGAACGCAATAATTCCATTTCGACAGTCGCCAGGGGTCCGAGTTGCGGACGCCAGCCACGCGAGTTTGATCGTCGCGGCGGGCGCCGTCGTCGCAGCGCGGATCAGCGCGGCGACGCGCGGCGCGACGCCCCCCCATGCCACCGCGTGGGAACGCGGCGGGGATTTAGCGCCGCAGCTCTGGCCAGCGTGACGAGCGCAACAAGCGCGACGCGCGCGCCGCGTATCAGCTCGACGGAGCGCGGCGACGCCGTTCTGAAACGCGCCAGCGGCTTGCGCGTCGCGCGCGTCGCTGGGCTGGGCGAGGCGACGAGCGGCGGAGGCGTGCCGCCGAACGGCGCAATCGGGTGCTGTGCGAGGCGGGCGGTGCATGCGCTGTGGCTGGGAATCTTGCGCGGCAAGCGCGTGGGGCCCGCGTCGCAGCTGCTGTGAGCGGTGCTGGGGCGGGGTCCAGGCCTGGCGCGGCCCGCCCGTGACCGCCGCGGGGTCTTCGCGGCGCCGCGCCGAGGCTGCGCGGGGCAGGTGCTTGAAATTCCAGCGCCGCCGCGCCGTGGGCGGGGCGTCGTCGTCTCGTTTGTGGTCCACTGTTGGAGGGCGGCCCGCTTTCAACGCGTGGTTTTCGCATCCGCGCCGCGCGCGCCCGCCTGTGAAATTAGCGCGGGCTTCGCGGGTGGAGGGCGGCTCCTTTCTCAACGCGTGGCTCTCTCTCTTTGGCGCTTTGGCGCCGCGCGCGTTCGTTCTGAACCGCCCGGGCGAAAGGCCGGGCCAAATGCAGTTGTGAATGCCGCGCAATGCTTTCCGCTGTCGTCGGTGGGGCTCCTCGCGGGCTCGCGAAGCGCGTGAGGGGTGTGCCGTAATTGTGGTGGCGTGGGGCGCGCGCGAATTGTGCCGGCCTTCGGTGGGGCGCTCGATGGCGCCGCGATGCGCCCGGGAATCTGCCCGGGTCTCCTGGTGGGGCCGCGAAGCCCGCGAGGGGCGTGCTGGCGTTGTGCGGGGCGTTGTGCAGGGGCATTTATGTGGACGCTGGTAATGGGCCTTTCGTGAAGCTGTCCACGAGGGCGCGAATCGTGTGTGGGGTGCGCCAAATGTGTCG